TTGTCGCCAACAACTTCATTCAGTTCAATAAACTTCATATGCCACAACAGTTGTTTTTAAGATGTTTTGTAATTTCTGAGGACATTTAAATATCACTATATGCTATCCTGATTATATTGATAAAAGAAAAAAATATTTGTACAAGATATTATAATCATTGTTCTCAAGCAGTGGTGTGATTAGTGAGTCGTGTCAATATTTCCTTGTATTGATGGGGAGACAGTTAGAGTGAGACAGACTCCCATATTACACATTATTATACATGTAATTACATGTATCAGTTATGGAGAGTTTGAACTCTATGTTGAGGTAGGAATCTTGTCCACTTATTGCAGAACAACAGTAGCTGTTGTCTTTGTAGTACTAGGTTCAAGTATTAGATCTCTTGGCATTATTTTATGTTGTAGATTTTCGAAGAAAGAAGTCAATTAACTTTTTCTTTGTATTTGATTGCTTCTTGCACGAAATGATGGTAATGTTTTATATTTATGCCCTTATAATTCTTGTAAATTAAAGGGTAAGCCACACATTGAATGTCTTTACCAAAATTATTGTGTACCATTTTATGTACCAATTGAAGATAAAATGAGTTACCCTTGAGGTGGTGGTGTCGGTGACCTTTGTTAAATTCATGAAGTTAGAGGTCAGTAACCTTTGTCCTTTTATTGTGGACTGTGTCAATATTTGGCTCTTGTGACATTCCGCATGCATACATGTTCACAAACACGTACATGTCAACATTCAGCTGATCTCTGGAAGTGTGATCCGTCGGGAGAAGTGTGTTCTTCCTCAGCTGGGGTTAGAGGAAGGAAACTATATAAACTTCCATCGCCCTCTGATGCAATAACAAACCAAGAAACACTGCTAAACAGGCTCCTCGGAATATCAATGTTAACTCATTTCATTAATTCTGACTGATTAATTGCCTGATTTCTCATAAATCTTTGTGGATATGAGGAAGTCTTATTGTCAGACATAGAGAGTGGTGTATTTTATATTAGTTAAAGTCCTGCTGGATTCTACTTGTTACACTAACTCCCCAGATTTATGAAGTCAGACTTTGGTTCTAAGCTCTCGCTTTTCCTGTCCTGGTTAAGGTAAGTCCCACAGTAAAATTAATTCTTTAAAAACATTTTATTATTCATGATTATGTATTGTTTATCATAAAAAGAAATAATGATTTGATTGTTAAGGAACCTAGCTTTCTTCCTCAGTTGATTCCTGATTTATATTACAGTCAATATTCTTATCATGCATCATTTATTCATCATCAACAGGCTTTTGTTCTACTATCAGTTGCGTTTCCTCAAATAATGATCAGGATTTCTCAAATAATTCCAACGTAAATAAAACCAAAATAATAAATTAATTCTTATCACTCAGTGTACACCTCAGTAAAAATAGAAATTTGCTCTTGATTAGCATATCCTTTATTTCATTCATTAAGTCCATAGTTAATTATGATGAGTCATAAAGTTTTGAATAAGGTGAGGGCACATTTTAGTTCCTAGTTTCATGTCAAAGGAGTGAGACAATCTTCAGTTGGATCATATTCTCTTTCTCTTTTATGGATTGGAGTTTAAATTCTAGCTAATTTAAAGGGATAATTAGAAAATGAGTGGGCCCCTATAATTTGTTTTTGTCATAAAAAGTTAAATCACATTGAAAAGTGTGTCATTTTGTATCCAATGTCAATGAATCAGTTCATCACAAATTTCAACGGATTCATATATAGTGAGGGTTTTCCACTTTATCCTTGGAAAAATGAGTACTTTATGGAATAATTCTAATCTGTACAGCACCGTCCACATGTCTAAACTGATGAACATTTGGAAAATTTTTATCAATCGGAAACAGTATGTAGTCCATTCTGTCAGCAACAGGTAAGCCAGGAATAAAAAAATATCTAATATGTAAATGGATGGCAATTTGAATATATATACTTGATAATGTGGGTGCTGTCTTGTACAAGTTATTATCATATAAAGATATTAATTTTTCTAATACCTAGTTATATACATGTTTGAATCACTATTTCAATGAGATATAGAATTTTAATAATGACTTTTTATGAATAATCAATGTGAGAAGCTCTTCGATGTAGAATTAGAAACTATCAGCCTCCTTAATAATTGGCCTATATATATATTGATCATTTATTTTACCGGTATGTCCATTAGTTGTCCATCAGTACTGGGTAATTAAGTCAGATTGGTCACAGTGATTTATATGGGGGACCAATGGACTCTTTCTTTTACTGAGTTCTACAGGGGCAATTAGTTCTATACATGGCCTATATCTAATATATAATACATAGACAATAGCAGTTCTCTCTTCAGCTTCAGAAATATAATGTGAAAGTGAGCTTTGTTAATGGGAAACTGAGGATTCATTTTCTTTTAAGGAAATCTGAAGTATTATAGGCTTATTGTGGTTTATACAGTCATAACTGCATTCAGTGCATTGTGATAATGTGATAAGAATGCACGTGCAGGTTTGTCGAGGTATATAGAACCAATAACAGGAACTGCAGGATGACACAGATTTATATTTATTGATGTTGAAATGATAAAATTCATTGACCACGAGAATTTAAGTTGACTCTGGGATTGGTGTGAAGTTATTTAGACAGATTAACATATCTTTGACCAAACTGGTAAGAAAATATTGATACGTGTACAGTTAATTCTGATCTTCTGATTTGTTAGGTTTATAATTCGGAATTGTTAGGATTTTTTTATTAACTGATCTTTATTTTTTATCTTTAAATTGAAGTTGGTACTGTAATATTTATAAAATGATTTTCAATTTATATTCAAAATTAATACAGTTCTCTTCAAATCAATGCAGGGAAGTGATTTCCAGCATTTTTTAAATCTTAAACTTTATGGAAAAATGTATTTATATAAGCACTGTGCAGTAATGGTCCAAATTTTGAGTTTATTTACTGTGCAGAAGTCATTGTATAATTGTCTGATTTAAAATTGAGCCTCTAATTAGAGCTGGACCGAGGCTGTCATTGGCGTACGAGTAATGTCATTTGTCACGTTCCCCATAGGGACACCTTGTTTCCTGTTTAATATAAGTAGGTATACAATTGTGGTTTAGAAATGAGCTTCAGTTTGGCTATCTTCAGATCTATATTATAATATACCTCAAGATGAGTAGGACTTTCCCCTTTGTTTTTAATTAGATAATCGCATATAATTATTGGACACAAACAATATTGGCGGTTTTGTAAGTGAGCTAGGTAATGAAGTTAATTTTTTTGTTATTTATTATTATTCTGAGGATCATTATAGAGCTCTCTTTTTAACAATAAACATAAAGAATGCACAGCTATAGTTATGAAAAGAATTACGCGGATTTAACGAGTAGATCATTATAATTGTGATTGGAGGATGGATGTGGTGTCACAGGTGGGAGGCTGACGGGCAGATAGAACTGATACCTGTCACATTCCCTTAATTACCTGGGCATACATCACCTGTATGATACTGATCATCTTGTCATATCTGATTTATACTGACCTAGTTTCTAAATACTGCACAATTTTAAGTAATGTTCTTACCACAATAGCTCATACATGTATACCAGTATGTATTTCAGTTAAAATGTTGATTTATGAAATGTAGAATACTGTCTGCACAGAATTGCAATTAATATTATTTCTATGGCAGTTTTTTTTTTGAGCTAAAATACTGGAACATAGTTCTTCTTCTGGATATGCCTTCATGAATTGAGAATGACCCCCTGTATATGTTACTTAATCCCATCTTCTCAAGATTTTTCTTTAAAGTGACTCTCATTTGTTTGTACTTCATGGCCCACTTGACATTGTACTATTGAGGCTCCACTTGATGAAATGCTGATTAGGTGGGGCCCAAACAACTAAATAAGCAGTCGGAAGTTCATCTCAATTTACATCTCTTATCTCTTGTTTCAGAAGGCCTAAGGATTATAAAAATACATTCAAGTTTTGTTTTTTTTTTAATTGAATACTTTACTCTCATTACACTATTGTTTTGTTTGATTTTTTTTAAACTTAAATTGAATGCTTTTAAAAATAGCCAAGATATGCTTTCTCTCAAGTTGAGGAACTTGGATCTGGAACATTGGTATTTTTTATATTAGTTAATTATGTCCAATAGACAACAGAAGAATTACACCTGTATGTCCATTTGTCTATCTGCCCATCTGCCTGTCTGTCCACCTGTTTAGTTGTTTATTAGTCTGTCTTGATTCAGAAGGCCAGGATTATAAAAATACATTCAAGTTTTTTTTTTTTTTTTTAATTGAATACTTCACTCTCATTACACTAATGTTTTGTTTGATTTTTTTTAAACTTAAATTGAATGCTTTTAAAAATAGCCAAGATATGCTTTCTCTCAAGTTGAGGAACGTGGATCTGGAACATTGGTATTTTTTATATTAGTTATGTCCAATAGACAACAGAAGAATTACACCTGTATGTCCATCTGTCTACCTGCCCATCTGTCTGTCTGTCCACCTGTCTAGTTGTTTATTAGTCTGTCTTTCCACTATTCTGTCTGTCTGGTATTTGATAAGAATTCAGATACAGGTCTCCCTATTAGGGGATTCTAGCAATAACCTTAACAAACACTCACAGAAATGACAATTTTCCTTCATTGATCATGGATGGTTACATTTAATTTAACCTGTAAAGATTTTCACTGGACTGTAAATAAGTTTGTTTGTGGTGACTTGTCCATACCAGTGTTTGTTTACAGAAGCAAGGACACATTGATAAGAAATAACAAAAGATTGTATAAATGATAAAGATATAAAGGTATAGGTTCATATCTCGAGTATCCAGACCAGCTCATATCAGTGATAGGGACTTGTATCAGAAGAAACATGGAGAGTCATTCTCCGACAAGACAATGTTCCTTACACCTGACGAGACACAAGCCTGCGATGGACCACCATGATTTTCTCCGTCATCATCCTCAACTGATGAAAATATTATTCCTTTTCAGAAAGCAGAATAATATGGATGGGAGTTTGTATTGTGACAATCATATTCCAGCCATGCCTAAACCACCACTTACTACAGGAAAACCTCGCATCCCCTCCTCTCCAGATGATCATGAGGTCAGTTGCTCATATCATACTAAATTATTTCTGAAATCATTTCAGATACACATACAGTGTTGATACAATTGTATTTATATAGAATTTTTGCAAATTAAAGTGCGTTAGTCAGTGGTTCGACACCAAACTGTATGGGTATTCCAGCAAGCCTTTGTCAGTTCTTCAGAGGCCCATTGCTAAATCTATAATCCATTTTGGTTTGATTAGTATAGTGCTTGTATAGCAAAACCCTATTGTGTATACAGTTAAGGTTCATAGACCCTCGGATAAGAGAGATAACTTCCTTAACTGGGATAAATGACATTCCTTTATAAAATTGTTCAAAGGTAATTTCTGTTAAAATTTGCCCAGCAAGGTATGCTGGGTTTTAGATATAAATTAGATTTCTATGGATAATCATTATCATTAAGGCAGAATTTTATAGGAGTGAACAGGGGATGATGAACTGTACTAATCAGATAAAGAAGGAAATCAACTTATTCCAATTATAAACCAAGGAAAGTTATACACTTACTGACTACAGTTATGAGGTCATTCTTTAGCCTTGTACTGACCTTGTTGCTTTTGTTTACAGCTGGATACATTTGAGATGCTGATATGGCCTTGTATTGACCTGGATAAGGTGCTCTTTTTTTACAGCTGGATATATTTTCAAATGTTGATATGGCCCTGTATTGACCTCGATAAGGTGCTCTCTTTTTTTACAGCTGGATATATTTGAGATGCTGATATAGACTTGTATTGACCTTGTTCCTTTTGTTTACAGCTGGATACGTTTGAGATGCTGATTAATTACCAGGAGAGGAGTCGTATGGATGACCAGAGATGTGACATCACCTCCTTCATACCTAAGGTAAACATATGTCAACTAATCAGTGGTCAGGGGTCACTGACCAATCAGTGACTGACCATCAAAGATCATCCATCTGAATGTTTATTTAGTATGGACAAAAATAATCAAGACTAATTGGAAATCAGAGTTGAACAATAATACCCATATACATATATAGATCCATTCACAGACCCTTACTTAATAACAACCCATATTCTAATTGCAACTGTAGTTTTATCCAAATTAATGAAAAAAGATACTAATCGATCCATGGTATGTTATTGAAGTTGTGGACTAACATGCTTGTAAGAAATAGCCTTTAATTGCTTGCCCCGTTACAACTAAAAATACTTTGTTGACAGAAGATTGATGAAATCTTGTAGGGCGCTTCTGCTGAGTTTTATGAATATGTCCTGAATTTCCAAAGTCGTGGAAGACTGGAAGACCAGCGATGTGCAATGCCTGAAAACCCTAAGGTTGGGGGTTCAAATCTCCAATATAACCCTCTGTTGTTTGCTTGTACTTGTGTATTGCAGTAATTTTGCGGCATCTCTTTTTTGAATATCTATTCATATCTACTCTGTGCTTCCTCAGATTTAAAGTTTATTAAGCACAATTCAATAACCCATTGTTCCATATTGGCCTTCAGTTTTAGCATATATAGATATATATTTCCTCTTTGGGGCAAAGTTTTGTTTATTTTGCATTTTTTCATATATATATCAGCATAATATATTTGACCAAATAAATGGTAATTTTAAGATTTCTAATGATTATACAACCATATTATGAGTTTAATAAGTTATGCATGCTTTTAACTTTTCAGAAAGTTAAAAAAAGTAGCTAGGTCAATTTTATATAAAGTGTTTCAGCATGTTGTGTCGTAATATGTCAAATGTCCCACTCATGGTGTGGCTGCCTCACTCTGAGTGAAGAGGACGTTAACAGGATATTTGGTAGTCCGTGTGACACAAGTGTCAGCTAGTAGATCGTGAGAATTCTCAGAACAATGCCTCATTTAATGTTGTCATGAAGTTAACAATGTATAGAAGAATTTATCTTTTACAACGTGTATCTTGTATTTTCCCCATATGTTCATTTGTGACAGTCATATATGTGTTTTAATCATATTATGAACAAGGATAGAGAGTGTGTCTGATCCTTTAGGCTTGCAATTACTAAATTAGAAGCTTCCAAAGCTTTGATAATAAATATTAAAAAAAAAACTTGAAATTACATGAAGATAGATGTCCTTACTACTAAATTGACAAGGAGGTTTACCGATATGTGACCTATGTGTGTAAGCTAATAATGTAGCCCCCACTGACTGCAACTGACAATAGGACCCACCCACAGCCTCTGTAACTGACAGTGTGACCCAGTTCTAGTCTTAGTATCTGTAACTGGCAGTGTGACCTGAATCAAGACATACACTCTGTAGCTGACAGTAAGGCACAGTCTATTGACGTTATTTACAACTAGTACTGGTGAAGTTCAGTCCTCACCAGATATGGGTTTTCTGTGTCTTGAGAGATGCTGACACAGTTGAATTGACTCTGTAAAAGAGGATGTTGTTTACAGTTGAGTTCCCCATTCTTATGAATCTGTTGTTTACAGTTGAATTCACTGAACATAAGAATCTGTTGTTTACAGTTGATTTCACTGAACATAAGAATCTGTTGTTTACAGTTGAAATCACCACTTTGAATAAAAATCTGTTGTTTACAATTGAATTGACTGTGCATAAGAATCTGTTGTTTTCAGTTGAATTGACTGTGCATTAGAATCTGTTGTGTACAGTTAAATTGACTATACATTAGAATCTGTTCTTTACAGTTGAATTCACTGAACATAAGAATCTTGTTTACAGTAGAATTCAATGTTACATTAGAATCTGTTATTTAAAGTTGAATTGACTGTACATTAAAATCTGTTGTTTATAGTTGACCGTACATAAGAATGTTGTATACAGTTGAATTGACTGTACACAAGAATCTGTTGTTTACAGTTGACCATACATAAGAATCTGTTGTTTACAGTTGAATTGACTGTACATAAGAATCTGTTGTTTAAGTTGACCATACATAAGAATCTGTTGTTTACAGTTGAACTGACTGTACATAAGCATCTGTTGTTTGCAGTTGAATTGACTGTACATAAGAATCTGTTGTTTACATTGTAGGCTCCTCTGACCCCCACTCAAATAGAACAACGAAAAACCATGGAACAAATGGAGCAGGTATTTATATCAGTGACATTTAAATGGTAAACCAGTAGTGAACATAAAAATAACAAACTTAATATACATAACATAATTATCATTTATTATATCTTATCCTTCAACATATCTTTATTAAAAAAGAAAATTCTTGTGACATCATCTGTAACAGGAAGAGCCTTTTAGACTAAAATTTACAGAAAAGTCCACTAAGGTTATAACCTTGTCACAATCTTTCAGATTCTTAGGGACCCTGCACCATACCCCATGGTTTACCTCCCCTCAAATGTGGGATATTGGGAGGAGAGCTCAGATATCCTCCCCACAGAATCTCCTGACAATGTTCTCCAAGATTCCACAGACATCTATGAAGACCAGGGGGCCACAGCATACAGAAAGTACTTCATGGGTCAGGTGAGAGGTCAATGTCCGAATAAGGACATTGTTAAAAATATATGATTATAGTATTGATGTGAGTATTGTCAAGTTTGCTAAACTGACAATAAAAGGGAAATAACTCCTTACTCTAATTATCATTATTTAAAGAGCCATTGCAAGGTTGTTTTAGCATCATTTTATTAGCTCAGATCTTGACTTTTTTTACCACAGGAACATTTTGATTACTATGGACAGGATGCTATCCTGGGTCCTCTTGTCCTTTCCCTCAAGGAGGAGATCACAGAAAATGAGGAGGAAACCATACGGTGTGTCCTCAGGTATGTGTACTACTATACATTATGTGTCCTTAGGTATGTGCACTACTATACATTATGTGTCCTTAGGTATGTACTATACAATATAGTGTGTCCTCAGGTACTTATAATATATATATATATATATATATATACTTATACTTATACCGTATAATTGTGTATCCAGGTTGAAAAAAAAAATAAGAATTGATTTTATTCAGATTGAACAAAGTCTTGATATTAATGTGAGATTTTAACAAGTTTTTTAGTTTGAAACCCATAAAATGTATACCAGTTTTCACAATGTGTCTTTTCTCCACTACAGAACAAAGTCTTGCTCCCAGCACAAAGTCATTCCCTACGAACAGCTGGACAACATTCCAAATCCTGTCAAAGTTGCCAAGGTAACCAAAGGAAGATAACTCTTCATGTACTCAACTGCCCAGTCTTTTCTGGCTTATTCACTTCATTGTTTTTGATTTCAGTGTTTTTGGGAGGAGATAACATGTGAGAAGTTTGATCCAGTGTTAACAACAAAAGGCTCCAGCTTAATAGTCCAGTTTGATGAACATAATCTTACAAACTTGTACAAGTTTGGAATCATCTGCCAGAAATTTAGACAGGTATTACAAAATTCTAAAATTAGAAATTGTTTAAGCTTCATATACTAACTTCTCATATTTTTATATTGTGTTTGAGGTTTGATATTTGAAATTAAAATGAATTGATTGCAGACAAAAGAGGAACAGTTGTTTAGTAACAGGGATCACAGCAATAGTATGGAGGAGTTCCTGACTCTGATAGGAGACAGGGTTCCACTTAAAGCCTTCCAGGGGTGAGTATCTGATAGGGGACAGGGTTCCACTTAAAGCCTTCCAGGGATAAGTAGAGGGGGATCTAAAGACCAAATTTCAAAGCCAATTCTTTCCTAGAGAAAATGTACTCACTACAACTTTTAAAATAGAAATTGTTATTGCTGGCTTGTAATAAACTGGTTTTCCTTTCACAGGTACAGAGGGGGACTAGACACAGTCCATGGTCAAACTGGGGAGGATTCAGTGTATACCAACTATCAGGGGAGAGAAATCATGTTCCATGTGTCCACTCTCCTCCCCTACACAGATGGGGATCCACAGCAGGTAAATCATAATATGTATATAAATAATGACTGCTCCTGTACAGTACCCTTTCTTTGTCATGATACACTCAGTATGGTTCTAATATTCATGCATAGGAAATAAAAAAGGAAAGGTGACCTTATTGACTTCATATTTCTGAAACGAAACTATCTCCTTGTAAAAATAATGCTTAAGATATAATTTAAAAAAAACAGTGATGTAGGTTCTACAAATTTAACAAACTTTATTTTTTCACATAGCTACAGAGAAAGCGACACATAGGGAATGACATTGTAGCCATAGTTTTCCAGGAAGAAAATACTCCATTTGTGCCAAACATGATTGCCTCCCATTTCTTACATGCATTCATTGTTGTTCAGCCATTTACTGGAGAAGATGGAATAACCAGATACAAGGTACCACACTCCTCCCCCTTTCTCCATCATAAATCATATTAGTCTGGATTTGGTCTTTATTTCTTGTATTTCTGTTTGTGATTAGATAGTAAATTTGGCTATTTCTGTTGCTTAGGTTGCAGTGGCAGCTCGCAGTGATGTACCTAGGTTTGGTCCACCATTACCTAATCCTGCAATATTTGAAAAGGTCAGTCATGGCATGATCTCTCATAGAGAGTTTGTAATTAAAGTAAATTAGACAGATTTTAAAAGGTTTAATATGTGTACTTATATTGGTTATTATGAATTTTACTTGCAGGGGCCAGAGTTTCGAGATTTCATTCTCACTAAACTTATCAATGCAGAGACGGCTTGTTACAAGGCAGAACAGTTTGCAAAGCTGGAGGTAAAGTGAAATTAAGGTTCAGAATAATTTAATATTGAAAAATTGATATCCCCTAACTATATAAAGCTAAGAATTAAAGGTCTAGTCCTTTATAACTGGAAATAAGCACTGATAGAAATATAAGATAATGTAAATCTATGGTTTGCCTGTCATATTTTTGTCATTTCTTTTTAGGAGCGGACACGCACAGCTCTTTTAGAGGTTTTACTACAAGATCTGTCACGGAAAACTAATGAACTGTTTGGGACCAGCTCCCCTAGTGCTAATTCTACCAAAGAAAATCGCAACTTTATGGACAACATCAAGAGGGCGCTCAGTAAGAAGGAGTCAAGGTCATCAGAGTCCAGTGGCAGGAAGTCTAATGGGTCATCCTCACTGGCCCCCGTAGGGGAGGATGACAAGATATCTAGTGTAAGTATGCTATCTATGGTCAACAGCCATCTGTGATTTATAAGGAAGATATGTTTTTTTAAAAACTATTAGTAATGAGTACATGTGTACCTAATGGTGATTCTCAGCTGTATAGAAATGTTGAATTCCTTTTGTTGTTATATCCAAAAGTATGCATTGAAGTAGTTGTGATATCAGCTCTGAACATAATTAGTCTTTGACATTGATGACAACTTTTGTTATTATTTCATTCTAATTTTTACAGCCAAAGAAATCGCCGAGCTCCATTAAGAAGAGTGGTCGCCATAGTCTGGAAAGGCGATTTGCTGAGAAGAATCAGTAAGTCATTACAAAAGTGTCTATTTCTATCCTTCCTCAGAATTATACAAATAATAAAGTCATATTCAGTATACTCTTAGTAATCAATCAAAAAAAACATGCTTTATATATATAATTAAAAGTATGCAAGCTCCTTAAAAAAATAGTAATAGATTTTTGCATGCCCTGTTGAATCGTGTATGTGAGTAGCCTCCCTTGATTTTTGCATGGATTGTCTACCCCTGTTTCAGATTTCAGCGCTTTGACAGTCACAGTACTCAGTCTTCGTACAAAACGTGTAGTGTACCCAACAGTCCACAGTCAAGTCCTAGTTCTACAGCGTCCGCTCCAAGGTACTGCCCGGGGGAGGGGACTTACAGAGATTAAATGTTTATATAAAAATATCAAGAGATTGCAATGTAATTCTGATTTTTTTCTAAATGAAGTTTTTAAAAAATTACTTGCTTTAAATATTTTAAAATTCATTTTTGTTTAAGAAGGATAATAAATGACCAGTCCCCACTCTCTCCATTGTTGTAGTGATCCTGTAGTACATTAGTTATAAGTTACGTATTAACCACTCAGCTTGGAAGGTTAAAGATGAATCCCTTCTGTCAGAGTTCCTCAATGATATGACATTTTCTTGATGCATGTTGTTTTTGCATGGCACTAAATATCTCATAACACCTCATGTTTATAATGATATTGACCCTGTGCTTGTGTTGGGTTGAGATGTAAGAAATATCTACTCTATATTCCTGAAAAATTTCACATCAAATTAGGGTAGATAGTCATTAATTGGCAAAGAAATTATTGATAGAGGAACTGTAGGAATATTTATGACACATGATATTAAGATACTATGTTATCTGATGCACTGTACAGTTGAATAGTTAATGACGGTTGTTTAACATTTCAGGATGACTGGCTTCCAACAGTTGTCTCCCTCTAACTCAGAGAGTTCCTTTAACAGTATTGAGGATTTCCCTAATGGACAGAACAGCCAGCAGAACCATGAAGACTCGGACACAGGCATGGTCAGTAGAAGGCAGAATGTCTTTCTATTAAATTTTGGATGTTCATACAAGAAAATTTGTCTTTATTGTTGGAGTCTAAAGAAATCAATGGCAAGGGCCATTACTGTGCTTAGAGCTACATTATTATTTATATTTGTGGTTCTATTTATAGGAGAGTATGTCCTCGGCAGGTACCCCATGTAACACTCACATGAAGACCTCAGTGTCTAATAGTCTCAGTGAGGATAGCTGTGGTTGTGTATTCATACCTCTGGAAGGTGAAGGTAAGGACACATGTACTGACAGTGTCTTAATGACAGCTGTCAGGAAAATTTAGGCTGTTATTGATGCTTGTGGGCCATTTTAAGTTTTTTTTGTATGAATAATTTCAGGTTTTGAAAACTTGAACAGACATACAGAACACCTCACTGCTGAAATTCAGAAACTCAAAAAGGAAAAGAAGGTAAAAACAAAAATTGTTTAAGGAATTAATTTCACGGGTTGTAATTTTCATGTTTTTCTCTCTTCCGACATGATTAGGTTTGATGAATTCGCAAAATTGGTGCAAAATAGAAAAAAATATTAATTTCAAACCACCTACATGTGATTTTTCCCTGAATCATGATAGTTAATACTACTTGACTGTTGTGTTTAGATGAAACAGCTTAATTTGGCTATTCAAACAGCTACTTGACAATAAGTGCAGGTCATTATCTGCAAATTTGAATTTTAAGAGAACTTTGTCATTTTAAGAATTGAATGATAAGTATAACTCATAATTGCTGAATGACTATGTAATATATACATATACCTACTGGTAGCCTGGGGCCTATTTTACAAAAGAACTTATGACTAAGACCAAAAACGAGAGCTGATTGTAAAAACCTTACTAAATTCATGTGCCTGTAAATGATTCTGTTAAAAATTGCCTGTATAAATATATTGTTTTGAATTGTTTTTAAAAAGAATAAAACCATGATTTTCAAATTCAAGTAAATAAGAAAGTTATTCCTGAAATTACCTTTTGGTCTTAGTCATAAGTTCTTTTGTAAAACAGGGCCCTGAACACATATCCCCCCTCTCCAAGAAAAAAAGACAACAATTTTATTTAAAAAATTATTCACTCTTTATTGAATTCATGGATTTGTTTAACACCATGAATATTAGGAATATTCAACCATGAGTTAATTTCCCCCTATACAGTAGCAAATTTTTCAGTCAAATGAGATTTATAAAAACTTTGTATGGGTAATAATTAACTTACATGAATTGCAACAAGAATTTTTTGTTCTCTAGGCAAGTCAGAGGGAGATCCAGAACCTCAAAGACCGAGAATCTCAGATGATGGTGGAGCTCCGTACTGCTCAGCATGAACTCCAGAAACTCCGGCTTAATGTGATTGCAGGGGTCAGTCATTTTGAGGCCACTGTTTGATCCTCCCTCTGCTCTATTCTAGAATTAATTTGATGCTTCACCTCAACACAGGTCAAGGATATTTACAATACTGGTCTGTCTGCAGGAAATTAGGGCATAATGTGTGCACAATGAGGTTAAAATGCTTTCTGTGCAAAATACCTTACCAAGGAGTGTGTTTTCCTTAACAGTAATGGTCAGGTGAGGGGATGTGATTGTATCCCAATTTAGCTACACAGATAATGCTTCCATTGTTGTGTATAGATGAACCCTGTCCCAGACCAGATACATGACACAAACTGACATTTAGGGCTGCTTCATTACAACTACACTGAATGTGGTCATCTCTTCAGACCATAAGATAATGAGATGTGATTGTCTGAGATAACTCGATCACATAATCATCTGAAACACTTCCATGAGATTGAGATGTTGTGTTCTTCTAGTCAAATCTCTGATGATTATTTTGTTCAATGCTCTTATCATGTTATACCAGCACTGACTTTGATTGGTCAAATTGTTGATGCTTTGTTCTGTTGATATCTGACAATCAAAATAATATGATGTCATCTGACTGTTTATGATGTCTTCTGACTGTTAATGATGTCATCTGACTGTTAATGATGTCATCTGACTGTTTATCCAGTCGGGATTTCAGTGCTTTCTCCTTTATAGAAGCTGCCAGCTTGTTGCTGAGTGAATGGTTGTTTTATCAGAGATTGGTTTCTGATATTAATACAAATACATTTTATGTGTTCAATTAACCAAGAAAAACTAGATTCCCAGAATTTATTTCACAATGAATTATTTTTTTCTGTATTGAAAGTCCCAAAATTAATTAAAAAAAAGAGTATAAACTAAGAGAAGAGAAATTCTTTGAACTAAAGTTTCTTGAAGAAATTCAAATTTGTGTTCTTTTGAGTATGATACTAATTCAATGGACACTTGCGAATTCATTGTTGAATAAGAAATATTATGAACAAGTTAATGTCTTGTGTGTAAAAGTTAAGGATCAAATTTTAGAATTGAAAAATTGTGATATGTGTGTGCTTTGGTGAGAACCAGTACTTTTTGTGAACCAGTAGTACATGTATGTATGAACAAGAAATGTGCGAACAAGATGTGTGTGTAAGCCTGTGATAAACAAATTTTAGAAGTGAGTTGTTTATATGTGAGTTTGGTTACTTGTGGTTTGTTTTATGCGAGATGTTTGTATGTGACTTGATTATATGTGAGTTGTTTTCTTATCAAGAATATCTGGTGCTACTTGCTCTGTTAAGTTTGTGCAATATTTTGTATATAAGATTCTATATTTAAGGACAAACATGTGTTCATTGATCCAGATTCCACAATACAAGCTCTGGTAAATAAATTATGTCAACTCTTTCTTATCTTTTGTTGTTTGAAAAGAAAGCTTTATTTTGCTGTGTGTCATTTGGAGAGTTTAGAAAAATGATTTACAGTTTAACTCATCTCCAGAAGTAAACATTTCATTTATTGAGTCAGTGTTGAGGGGATATTCAACGTGTGGAATTTATTTCACCAGTGGGACAGGAATTTAAAAAAAAAATATTTTTATGAGTGCAAAGCCTGAGTGAAAATGACAAGAAATCCTGTCTCACAAGCAAAATGAATTCAATATCCAACTACAAACTATTGGATTTTCCTTTTTATTACATTTTATTTGATTTTCCTCCACCTCTGTAATACAATGTGTCGTAGATTTTATCATCATAGTTAAGCAGTTCTGCCTCTGTAACACATAGTGTCTTTGATTATAAAGTCATAGTTGAGCAGTCCTAGCTGAGATCTCATAGCTAAGCGATTGTGGATTTAAAATTGTAAATGTGGATATTAACACCAATCTGGCAGTGCAAGTCTGTGTCTGGATGGTTTATTTACTCTCGACACTCTTTATGAAGGGAATGAAAATCTCGAGTTATGCTGCACTTCTGATATTTCAAGTGAAAAATATAACTTCACTGTGAACAATGTCACTTTCAAAAATATCATATTTATTCAATGGATAAATGTAATGAAATCATATATTTTTGTTGACTTAGGGGAGGTCCAGACTACAAAAGTAATCCAGGTAAATTCGCCTGATAGGTGAATGTGAGGAAGCTTACATCACATCCACACTGGGTTAAGTTAATCAACAAGCATTCTCAATCCATAATCAATGGACATCATTATTCCACAAGAACATCAACTGGTAAAGCTAATTTTTACCCTGGTGTAACAGGAAAGGAGAAAAATGTGACAGACTAGACCTTGATTCGAATCTGGCCCTCCTGAATCTCCAGTCACATGCTCTAGCTACCAACTGAGCTATCTGACAACCAACAATTTAAAACATTAAAATTCAAACAATTAGGCCTATGTCAGAAAACAATTGAGCATTAAAAACATCTAAATTGCTTGGCATGGCTTTTGTTCATTAAACCTATCTGCCCACTGCTATTGGAGACCCAGAAGTTCACACTATTTCAATATTCCTGTCTTTACAAAAACCTTATATTTTCATTTCATTTCTCCAATGGCCTGTACAAAATCATTAGGATCTTTAAAGCTGATGCAGTCATAGACCTTTGTTTTGTTGGTTTTCTTAATTGTATGGCACAACTTTGTACTTTAAGAATGAAGGGTACCTAGTACTTAAAACAAGAGCTAGTACCTCATCTATCACTTCATTTCCTAAATCTCCCCAAAATATCCTAAAGTCATCTTTATCCCATTCTTCTAGTGACCAATCTTTCAAACCCATTGAGTGGAGATTGTTTCCCTTGAAGTGGTTTAACTCATAGTACTAGTGCTTTCACCATACCAAGCCATCTTTTTTAAATGGAGGGAACTTGATGTTCCATATACAGCTCTCTGGGAAGTTTGATATGCCCTAATCTCAGTTCTATGAAGTTGTCTACCTAAAATATTATGTAAAAGAAAGGAGAAAATGTATGAGCTGGGAATGGAACCTGAAACCCATGCCTCTACAATCTGAGCAGCCCGATATCCAGGGCCCAAACCAATGCATGCCATGCCCTGGAAGTGATGGGTGAAAGACCTTCAATGGAAGGACCTGGATATCTCAATCTGTAGAGTGCCTTTATAGTGATGCAGGGATTCCCGGTCCAGCCATATATTTTCTCCTTTCCTGTTACATAATTTTGTGCTGTGACTAGGATGTGAGGTGTGAAAAACCTGCCAGGGAAGAACCTGGTTTGGTGTCTTTGGGGGTGAAGACCTTTACGGATCCGAGGGAGGAATGTGGTGGTCAGATGATTTCGATAAGTGGCCAGATAGTTCAGTTGGTAGAGCATCTGACTAGTAAATCAGGAGGTTCGGGTTCGAATCCTGGGTCTGGTCCATCACATTTTTCTCCTTTCCTATTATATTTGCATCTGATAAATTAGTGACAGGAACAGAGGAAAGTAGGACTGGAAATCTAATCCGGGACCCCTGACTGTGCTTCGAAACTCTGCTGACTGTGTTTCCTCTAAAATATAATGACTGTGTGTCCTCTGAAAACTACAGACTGTGTTTTCCCTAAAATCCATTGCCTGCGTTTCCTGAATATGTTTCCTCTAAAATTCACCAAATGTGCTTTTTCTAAAATCCACTGTATTTCCTCTAAAATCCACTGACTGTATTTCCTCTAAAATCCACTGACTGTATTTCCTCTAAAATCCACCGCCCGTGTTTCCTCTAAAATCCACTGACTTTGCTTTCTTAAATTTCCACTGAATGTGTTTCATCTAAAATCTACTGACTGTGTTGCTTATAAAATATAGTGACTGTGTTTCCTCTGAAAACCACTGACTGTGTTTTCCCTAATATCCATTTGCAAAATTATTTTGTTAAAAAACATTCTGATTGTACACACAAGTACACTGAAGTTGGCATTAAAAAGATGCTTGAGTTTCTGATTGACAATATCTATGTGGTTTTTGGAGACCAGGTCTTCCAACAATCTATTGGAATTCCCATGGGTAACAATTGCGCCCCGTTGTTAGCAGACCCTTTTTTGTATTCATATGAAGCAGAATTTGTCCAAAATCTTGTACGTGAAAAGAAGAAAACACTTGCTGTGGCCTTCAACTCGACATTTAGATATATCGACGACGTATTGTCAATTAACAATGGCTATTTTCATTCTTATGTCGATACGATATATCCTGGTGAGCTTGAGATAAAAGATACAACAGAGTCTGACATATCTGTTTCATATTTGGATATTTTACTTGAAAAAGACGTTAATGGTAATCTAACAACCAAGCTTTATGATAAACGTGATGATTTTAACTTTTCAATCGTCAACTTCCCTTACTTATGCAGCAATGTACCTTCATCACCTGCATACGGGGTATATATATCTCTCAGTTGATTCTATGCGCAAGAGCATGCTCTGAGTATGTATAATTTCTAAAACGAGGTAAATTATTGACAAATAAGTTGATGAAACAAGAATATCAGCTGTATCGTTTAAAGTCATCATTTCGTAAGTTCTATGGTCGATACAATGACCTTGTCAGCAAATACAATTTATCATTGAGTCAAATGCTGACTGACGTTTTTCATACTAATTGTTAGGCCATTATTTACACACTGAATTGTCGACGGATTTTTCTGTTATTTCCCGATCATGACAAGGAGCACACGGCGGGTGTGACCGGTCAGCAGGGGATGCTCACTCCTCCATGGCACCTGATCCCACCTCTGATGTTTGGAGGTCCGTGTTTGCTCTGCTCCTATTTTGTATTGTATAATGGACTTTTGAGCTTGAATACTGTTCGTTATCTCCATATATTTCATCCACTAACTGTGTTTCATCTAAAATCTCCTGACTCTATTTCCTTTAACATCAACTGACTGTGTTTCCTCTAAAATCTACTGTCTGTTCTTCCTCCAAAATCCACTGACTGTGTTTCCTATAAATTCCATTGACTATGTTTTCCCTAAAATCTACTGAATGAGCTTCCTCTAAAACCTACTGCCTGTGTTACCACTAAAATGCACGGACTTTCCTTCCTTAAAATCCACTGAATATGTTTCATCTAAAAACACTGATTGTGTTTCATCTAAAAAAAAAAACATTAAATGCATAAAATCCACTCACTGTATTTCCTCTAAAATATAATGACTGTGTTTCCTTTGAAACTACAGACTGTGTTTTCCCTAAAATCAACTGGCTGTGTTTCATCGAAACTCCACTGACTGTGTTTCCTCTAAAATCAACTGACTGTGTTTCTCTCTAAAATCTACTTTCTGTTCTTCCTCTAAAATTCACTGACTGTGTTTCCTATAAATTCCATTGACTATATTTTCCCTAAAATCCACAGAATGAGCTTCCTTTAAAACCTACTGCCTGTGTTTCCTCTAAAATGCACGGACTTTCCTTCCTTAAAATCCACTGGATGTGTTTCATCTAAAACACTGAATGTGTTTCATCTAAAAAAAAAACACCAAATGTGTTTCATCTAAAATCCACTGACTGTGTTTCCTTTGAAACTACAGACTGTGTTTTCCCTAAAATCAACTGACTGTGTTTCATCTTAACTCCACTGACTGTGTTTCCTCTTAAATCAACCGACTGTGTTTCCTCAAAAATCTACTGACTGTTGTTCCTCTGAAATCCACTGACTGTGATTCCTCTAAATTCCAATTACTATTTTTTCTCTAAAGTCCAATGACAGTGTTTCCTCTAAAATCCATTGACTGTGTTTCCTTTAAAATATAGTGACCGTGTTTCCTCTAAAATTCACTGACTGTATTTCCTCTAAAATCCACTGACTGTATTTCCTCTAAAATCCACTGCCCGTGTTTCCTCTAAAATCAACTGACTTTGCTTTCTTAAATTTCTATTGAATGTGTTTCATCTAAAATCTCCTGACTGTGTTGCCTATACAATATAGTGACTGTGTTTCCTCTGAAAACCACTGACTGTGTTTTCCCTAATATCCACTAACTGTGTTTCATCTAAAATCCACTGACTCTATTTCCTTAAACATCAACTGACTGTGTTTCCTCTAAAATCTACTGTCTGTTCTTTCTCTAAAATCCACTGACTGTGTTTCCTATAAATTCCATTGACTATATTTTTCCTAAAATCTACTGAATGAGCTTCCTCTAAAACCTACTGCCTGTGTTTCCTCTAAAATGCACGGACTTTCCTTCCTTAAAATCCACTGAATATGTTTCATCTAAAAACACTGATTGTGTTTCATCTAAAAAAACATTAAATGCATAAAATCCACTCACTGTGTTTCCTCTAAAATATAATGACTGTGTTTCCTTTGAAACTACAGACTGTGTTTTCCCTAAAATCAACTGGCTGTGTTTCATCGAAACTCCACTGACTGCGTTTCCTCTAAAATCAACTGACTGTG